TTATTGATCCTGGGAAGGAAGCAAATGATTGTGAATTCTTAATAGAGGATGGAAATCCTAAAAGCCTGTTATCTCCTTCCTTTTCTTTATTGGGGATGGGGCCAGAACATTATAATTTGGCTGAGATTTGAGATGTAACGATTGCAGGTCATCAATACTGACAAACTCTCCAATTGAGGGACAATCATCGGAGAATGTTGTTAATGGAATAATGGGGGATTCTACCCCCTCTACAAGTGAATATGGATCCGGCTTGAAGGTCAGTAACCTTCCTTCCAAATGCTAGAAACATTATCACACTTAATATTTGGTGTTGGTTTTACAACAATTTATAGTTTTAGGAAGAAAACTTTTTGGATTTATTAATTAGCAATAGTTAATCAACTGATTAATTAAAAGATGCAATAAAATTTGGTTCATTCGAAAATATTTTCCTTTGCTTCAACATATGACATCAAAGTGTTTATATTTCCTTCTGTTGCTGCCTTTTGGTTCGTAGGGGAAGGAGCAGACAGGACCAAATTTATCCTTTAATAACGGAGAGAGTTCCAATGTTCTTGAGGAGTATCCAGATAGCTTTGTGAACTGGGTCAACTATGGAGAGACACTCTGCCACTGAAGTTTGGATCATTTTTCCTCAATAATTCATTTCCTGCCTTCATTTGGCTCAACCATTTCTCCAAAGATGCTGGTCCATGGATGAGAAACTATAGAGTGCATGTTAGCGATATCGGGAGCAAGGGAGAACCAAAAGCAGTGGAACCGACATTCATTGGGAGGATATCATTCCTGGAGGCAATTGTGCTGGTCCTCGTGTACGATACAACATTGAGTTCGTTCGTCATGAAAATTTCAGTCGGAAGTTATACCAAAGTACAAAAGAGTAAATAGTCAACAATTAAGATTCTTTAGGAGCTCTTCCTCCATCAGTTCATGGATAATAGATTTTAATCTTGTAAATATTTTGCTCGTTGGAGCTCCACTTTAGAATTGCAGGCCATTGATTCTTTATTTTCCTTGATGTTAATTTGTGGACCCGCATAAAACTAACATTGTTGGGTAAGTGTTGCGGAGTATCCTACTGTTGTAGAACTGGTGCAGCCATTCTTGCCTTTAAGCGCTAATTTTAGGCCTTAGCCTGTACGACTTGGCGTTTGATTGAAAGACTTCATTGTGTGCTGTACTTTGAAGGTTGAAAAATGTATCCCTAAATGCAAAAATAAATTGTGTCCAAATCGGCCAAATAAAAGATTCAATATTCAAGTCAGTGTGTCCGCTCCTTTATAACTGAGTTCAATTCCCTTTTATGTACATTAGACGCTCCTTTACATCTGAGTTCAATTCCCTTTTATGTACATTAGACAGTTAAAGGAAAAGGATTCATTCGAACCAATCATAGATTTTATTGAGATAGGTAAATCACGGAGACTGGCCCCCCGGAATATCCAATCCAAAGCTTAGTGGAGGTAATTGTGCATCACTTCAAATTTGAACACTTTGTCCAAATCCAGAAGGACACGCATGGCATTCTCTAATTGTTACCGCAATTCTTGACCCAGAACTGAGAACTGTTTCCATCCCCAACGTATAGAGAACAAAGACTACATGACCATTGAAGAAGGTAACAATTTTTACTGATTACAAATTTACCACATGGAGATTACCAGTGGTAATTCACCACCATGATCAATTGACCCGAAACGTTAGTGGTTGTTTGACCAAAATTTCTAAGAAAATGTCCGACGAGTTTTGAGTTGTGTGGAAAACCCTCTAAGAAAATGTCCGACGAGTTTTGAGTTGTGTGGAAAACCCCTCGATGCCAATTGCCTTGCCCCGTGACTCTGTTGGTGCAGATTACTCAGTTTTTACCCACAATATTAAAGTAGATTACTAAGCAGAAATGCAAAGTTTTGAAACTGCCAAGAGCAGCGGTCAACCCAAACGACCAAAACAGCAGAAGGAATGACGAGAGTAGAGGGGCAGGGGGTATAGAGATGGTTTTTTAATGAGAAAATTGATAGCCAAAATAAAATTCTACAAAAGGAATCCCGCAGGTCGCGTTTTAGTTTTCAACATAAACTCAAAAGGCAAATAGAATAAAATAAAGCTACAGATGACCATATAATCATTTAAGTTATAGCTGCAAGTAGTCTGAGAATGCTGAAGTTCGTGCTGGAAATATGGGAAGAAAAGTCCAGCAGCAGATAAATCAGCAGAAATGATTATCAACCCAGAATGGGGAAGATGCGAGCCACGTGCTCTAATGGAATGCCATCGTCTGTGCTCTTTTTCAGCTCTGGATGGTTAAATTCATTTCGGGGCAGGACAATGAGTTGACCCCTTCCATGACCTTTCTCAAGAATCCAACCGCTATTGGCTACATGGTGCTCAAGGAATTTGTCCAGGGATAAGCCTTCAATATTGATAGCCTGTGACATACCACAACTAAATATAAGTCTTGCAGACAATATACAAAGCAGTATAGGATATTTTAAGACCTCCCACAGTAAAAGTATTCCTAAACAAAATGTGAAATATGTATAAAATTGAAGAAGATACCTCAGCAAGTACGGATCGGGGAACCCTTTGGTACGTCAAGGAAAGAACATGAATTGCATAGGCTTGAATTGCTTGCTCAAAACCTGCAATCAATTCTCTTGCATTACATATCACATGACATAAACACACAATACTGAGAAAATATGATGGTGACAAAACCAGTAGCAGGACATCATCCATAACAATTCCATAAATCGAATACCTGGGACAGCTTCAACTATGTGACGATTCTTGGATGCTTCATCCCAGAATTGACTGAACCTTCCGGTCTGCAAAAGGAAGAAGTTGCTTTGTAAGCCATGCATAAGTACTGAATCCAAGGACCACAGACACCACATATACCTCCAAATAGTGAGATAGGACAATGAGTGTCTTGAACTGCTCCTCCATTTGCTGATTAAAAATTAGAGAAAACAAAAGAGAGGATTAGCTGAACAACATTCATGGACCAAAAAAGTTCAATAAGATTCAACCTCCAAAACAATCTCAAATTTTGATACTAAAATTCATTGCAATAACATAAAGAGATGACGAAACTAATCAGAGCTGAATAACCGAGGAACTTGGATACCACTTTGTAATTTTGACACACACATATGCACACTGCAGTACCCATTTGAACACTTTGTCACTCATGTTAACAAAAATAATGAAATTCCAACTGGGTATGTAAGAAAATGAGAGAACTTATACCACTCTTTCTGGGATTAAGAAAAGACAAAGGCCGAAATCAGGGGAGGGCATTGCCATCAGTGCCTGCACATTAACACACATACAAATAAGACAAATTTCTTACTTTTGCATTAAAAATAAAACTAAGAGAAACGTTTTACAGCAATAGGATTTAATGCAGACCTTAACCAAGATGCGGGCAACAATTTGAGTGCTCATACGGTCCGGCTCAAACTGCACCCAGGAAAAAAGAAATAGACAGATTAGTTTTGCAGTAAATTACAGAATCTAAAACACAAACCAAATTTTAAAGAAAAACCCACTTCTCCTATTACCTGATAGATGCGAAGAAGGCAGAGATTGGCATCGAGATTATAAGTTTGTGAAGAAACCTAGAACATTGAAAAACAAATATAGGCCAGTCAATCAATCAATCAATAATTAATTCAATTAAAAACTAATTAACCCAAATATTAGCATTCATTCATCAATAAGATACAGAGACATACCTGCTCGTTAACGTAGTTTTCAAGATCGGAAAGCATGTCGGGGTTGTACGGATTCACAGCCAGCAGCTGTTCCACCGCCAACGCCACCTGCTGCTGCTGTTGTTGTGGAACCTCTCTCCCCATTGTTCCGATTTGGGTTCCTTTTCTTCTTTGTTTATTCGAATAATCTCTCTCTGTAGATTTTGTATCGTCGTCTCTCCTTCAGTTTCGATAGCTTGCAAGTACACAAACAACACGGGAGCGAAAAAGGGTTTGAGGGTTTTGGCTCACTCTGGCCTATACTTTTGCGTTAACGATTACAGCCGTACCAAATTACCTATATACCCCTTACTTCCGTTCCTTTCTTAGATTTTCTTTTTTGGTTGGGTAAATTATAAATTCAAGGTCATGTTTACCTATATACCCCTTAATTCTTTTTTGGTTGGTAAAGGAAACTTCCCTTCTTTATTTTTTTGCCGAAGGTAGGAAAATGACGGGGGACTCACACACACAGGTATTATGGGAGTTTAAGTCTTGGATCACTTAGGAGCGCATCAAATGTCTGGATCAATCCAACTAAAACACCTCATTGGTAAGGAAGTTGCTTACTTGATATGGTGTTATTTCGATTTTTATGGAACATACGTTAATTGTTGTGCAAGCAAAATTTTATGTGTTTTCAGCTCCATTAGAGAGAAGAAAAAAATACACGAACATAGAGAAAGAAACAAAGTCCACGACACAATATAAGTAGTAATTGAGTAAGTCTTATTATTGTTTCAAACCAAAATTATTGCATATGCAAGACATAATTCCTTATTTATTTTCTACAGCAAGACCTCCGCATTGCATGCACTTACGCCTCAGTAGCCAATACTTTAATTAATATGGTTATTTTTGGAGCAGCTCTCATAGCATGAATCCATGAAGCCTTTCACATAGCGTTTATCTATAATATCAATCAAATAAAACCAATATAAGAATATCAATTATCGAAATATAATTTCAAACAAATGATAAAGCGAGAGAGAGGAAATTACCAGAATTAGTTGTGGTGGCAATGGAGTTGGCACAATTATACAAAACATCCGAAGGTCCAAACTTGCATTTAATCATGCACATGCCAAGGCATATTGAGTTCATCATGCATTTAGTCAAGCCGAGAAAGAGCCAATCAAGTACACCCTGGTTGTTATAGGCAAGAAGGATCGGAGACATCCTCAACTTGACCAAGAGTCTTGCCATTTTGAACCAAATTGGTATAAGAAGGATTGATATCAGCTTGAGCTATTGCAAGAACAAGCCTGCTCATCAAAACCACAGCCCTCAACACAGCATCAATTGCTCCTCACTTTTCTTTGTTTTTCTTTTTCCTTCAACTCTATTTGATCGTCGAACTTTGTTGGTGGTGGAAGCTAAAGCCACAATTTATAGGGATAACCTTTGGCCATCTATGGTTCTAAGCATGATTTGGAGCTAATTACATGAGCTGTAATGAAGCATAGATTGAAGCGATACATGCATGACTATCCTTTTGAGCATAATTGAAGGTGTCTCTTTTGATTTCATGGCGATGACCAGTGAAGACCACCCACAGTTCAGTCCAAAATATTTCTCTGGTGAGCCTCAAATTTTTATTAATTGCTGGATGTAATTCTGGCGGTTTTGTATTCATAATATATATGCTGAGCTGTGCGTATATTTGTTTTCTCATTCTAAGGAAATGACAGAATTATTATTGTTAAAATTCTTGATCAATTGCAGGTCCTTTGATTTAGCTGATCATGGCTAATAATGGAGACTTTTTCATTGAAGATCATTTGCATCGAGTTCCTTCCTTTGATCAAGTCTTTTTGTCTGGACAAAATTCCTTGTGGCAGCTTCATTTTCTCACCTCAAAAGTTAAATTTATATAATTTAGCAATTTTTGGTGTCTATATATCATTATCGAAATCTATAATGTTTCAAGCACTAAAATACTTGCACTTTTAGAGACAAATAACATCATATGTAGAGACAAATAACATCATATGAAAATTTATTGGTAGTTCTCATAAGTTTGAGAACCTAAGTCGTCACTAAAGGTCTGAAATTCGCTGCTAGAGAACGAAAAACCGCCGCATCAGCTCCAAATTCGTCATTTTAAGCAAGATTGGCTACTTTTCTGCTGATTGAAGTGATATATATGTCTCTACTCTGATGAGTTGCACTTTCTTTGATCAACTTTGCAGTTCCTTTGGTTTAGGTGATCATGACTGCAATGGAGCTTTTCCTTTGCAGATTTGCACAGTTCCTTTGATTTTTGTGATCATGATGAACCTCAAATAATTGTTACATGTAATTGAGAAATCCTACATTTTTTTTGGGCCCCTTAATTCCTTCTGTTTTTTTTTTGTTATTATTAATAGGCAATTAGGGATTTAAAGAGGATCCGTGTTGTATTTCTATTTCAGTTTTCAAACAAAAGAAAAACCATAGTAATATCCGAGTGTAAAAAACATCCATGGTGACCGTCGCACCGGAAGATTACTCCAAGACTGCGAGGCTTTCAAGCAAGCCCTCAAGGTTGGCAATATTAATACTAAAATAACCATTTACATTCATTGAAATTGCAAATTAGTACATACATCAAAATTCTTGTTCCTGGATGCACAGCTTACATAACAAAAAAAATTTACACTACTGTTTTACAGATTCAAGAGATTTGATATCAAGTTCCAGCCCATCCATGTTTTCTTATCAGAAGGGTGTGCAAAATTGAGTTCAAACATCTCCTTGCTAACATGTTCACCAGATTCACAGAAGCCCACCAGCTTGGCAACAATTTCAGCACTTTCTTGTACATGTTGCATGTTATGAGGATCTGTCCACAATTTGTTCACCAGTTGCAGCCTCCTCTGTTTTCCTCCTGGGGGAATCTCCCATTTCACATACAGCATTTCTCTTTCATCTGCTGTCAGTTTAGAACTCACCCTCTTAGCTAAATATTCTCTTTCTTGCTTTAGAGCCTTGATGCTGCAAAATCCGTACATCCAAGCAAACATATTGTCAAAAGTTCACAACACAATAAATATATCAGCAGATTATTACAAGTATTTTTGGTTAGTCTTATAAGAGGATTAAAACTACTTGGGATGTATGTACCTGGCTGAGACTGAGCCTGCAGGTTCATCGCCTAAAAGTGCCGGACTTGCATTGCCAAGATCCGAGAAGTGTCGCTCCAGCCATTGCAATCTTCGAAGTTCCACTTCCATATAAATCTGATCAGTAGGGTCTCCCTTGAATAACATATAAAATTGTGTGCGGTGTATAATTGAAACATGGCACAAATGCCACAGCATGACAATTTCCTTCCTCTCCTCCTCAAAAGTCAGCTGCCATGTCTCAGGAAGAGATTCGTCAATTTTATCTGGCTCATCAACTCCGGCTTCTTGATCTTCCTCCAATGCAATAACCTAAAAACCGTATATACCATTAAAAATTCTAGTTTTCAGTCCTCATGAGCTACATTGACGTACACTGCTCTACTTATATTGTGAGAAGGCATAGAGGATGAAGGCAAAGTAAATGTCTGACAAAAGGAAATGAACAATTTAAGAAAAGCAAAACTAACAATCTCAAAAGCCAGAAGTTCATGTCCAATCAATATGCATGCATGTATGCTACTTGACTAGTACACCACATTGAACAATGCACAAATTTCTTGTGGTAATTCTATATAGCTCTAAGGAAAATGTTTCTCACCTGGCACAGCAGAAGGTGCTTTTGGTATGAAAGCTTCGTCACCCGTTCTTTTAACTCGGTAACATAAGCTTTAATGCTCCGTATATTCTCCTCAGCAGCATTCTTGAACAACCTCTGCATTTTCTTCACATTAACTGTGTTTGAATGCTGCACAGCAGGACTTCCCTCTTTGGATGACTTATTATCACTCTTTGATGGAGTAACTTTACATCTCTCAATCACTGTGTCACCACTAGGCATAGCATCGTTGTTCTCAGGCACCTTGTTCTCAGTCTCATATTCCATCACTTTACGAGAAGGGGTCAGAGTTGAGCAAGGGGAACGAATCAGATGCTGCATGTTTGCACTATTGCTCAAGTTGAAAGGAAGGATCTTTTTCTTTTTTGACGGAGTCTTGCATTCTGAAATTTCCTCACTATTTGTAAAAGAAAACACCAGCTGGTCTATAGATTTCTGAACATTCTCAAGCTTCCTTTCTAAACATTGAATATCTTTTGCCTGAGATTTCCATCGAGCGATTTCATCTTTCAGGTTGGCCCCATCTCCAGTCACAGATTCGTCAGCAATGGATCTAACAGCTTGTATGTCCTTTATTTCGGACAGCAGCTTTGCTATAGTTTCAGCAGTTTCTTTATTTCCCAGCTGATGGGAAGCTACCTCCTTATGCAGTACTTCAAGTGCTCGATTTGCCTCATCACCAAGCTGCCTCTGTCGTTCATCGAGCTTTCGGATTTCATGCACAAGCATGGATGGGTCTGTAGAAGTAACTGATCTCCTCACCATTGCCTTCCTTTGGACTGGAGCTCTGGTCCGAGACTGTGGAGTGTCTCTACTATGAATAGGAACTGTTTCATTCTCTCCAGGAAAAGAAAGACACCTGGCGACTTGAGCAGAGGGCCCAAATTGGTTCGATTCCTGAAATTTTTATATGTCAAACAATTAAGGTAATGCACGTGCATAAAAATCATAAACATACACAAACTATACTAGTACCTTCTGCACTTTCTTTACTTTGAGTTCTGATTCAAGTTGTGACTGTGCAAGGTCTCTTTCTCGCTTTAGCTCTTCCATTTCCCTCTCCATCTGTAAAATGAAGTTTCTTTACATTTAGGAGTAATCATATAGATAGAAGGATGCCATTTATGTTTAGTTCTTTGTGGTGTGGGGGGCAAGGAGGAATTATCCTTTGCCACTATTTCATATTGTCCTTTTCTGGTTGATAGAAATTACATGAGCAAAAATGATCAAGTCAATGACCATGACCTTTATAAAGGCCTTCCCACAAACTGAAGAGTATCCTTTGCCACTATTTCGTATTGTCCTTTTCTGTTCGACAGAAATTATATGAGCAAATATGACTTTGAATTCAAGTCAATGACCATGACCTTTATAAAGGCATTCCCATCAATTGAACAGTATCTCTAGGACTCAAGGTTGACTAGCATCCTGCATATTTGATGAACATGGAAAAACCTTGTATTTCTAAGTACCATACCTGTTTGATTTTCAAGTCCTTTTCTTCTAGTATAGACATAAAATAGGAAGGCCCTGGACCTCGTTGCTCTGCTTCGAGTCTGGCTATTTCCTTCTGCAAATTATGTATACGAGGTCAAGCTGGTTTTATCTTAAACCCATTTACAATAAATGAATAATGAGGTTCCACAATCTAGAAGAGAAGGAATTGCTGTTAATTCTTGTACCATGTTTATTTTCGCAGTATTAGTGACTTCCTTGGCACTAGTTGCAAATGAGAGTGTGTTCCTTGTTTGCTCTACATGACTTAAGGCTGGGCTTATGGTACATATAATGGCTGTCCGAGCATTTCCCCCAAGTGAAGACTGCAGTATTCGTGTAAGTTTTGAATCCCTGTATGGTATGTGACCACATCTTTTCACACCACTGCAAAAAAAGAACTTGTGAGACAATCAATCGCATGCACATGTTCAGAAAATTACGAAGCATTGAAAGTCTCCACAATTGTCCCTGAAAAGTACTTTTCTTTTTGGGATGCCACTGATGAGCAGGGACTTTCATGCTCACAGATGAGTATCATATCAAGACTCTGTGCGTGTGTATGTGTGTGTGTGTGTAAATTGGAGCTTTCCTTGTTAAAATGACAATAAGTAATTTTCTAAAACTTTTTTGGCCTGCAAATCAAAGGCAGGGTTAAGATAAGTTGAACTTCAAAGTATAGCTCTATAGGAACAAAAACTACAGAGTTTCTAAGCTAGGAACATTTGGCACTTGGTTACCTTAGCTTCCTGATAACGGTTGTGAGTGTCAACAAGCTACGGTTAATGTGACTACCTTCCTTCAATCTTGTACCATCCGCATTTGTTTGGGAGGCACGTTCACTTCCAGCAAGGTCCACAAGATTCTGCAGAATTCCAGAATTCTATTCAAATTCTAGTGAAGAAAACTCCATTGTTGTTCAATACCAAAAGCCTGAGTGTGACTAAACATACCAAACTGGCTCCAAATGACTTCACAGACCCTGAACTCTCCCGGAGGCTGCTTTCGATGGTCTGAAAAGAAAAAGAAAAAAAGGAATCATTAATTCTATCCTTATTCATGGACCAGTCAAAATGCATATATGCATGCTGGCTCATGTCTGCAACCTATGACATTAATTATGCAGAGGAAAAGTAATCAAGCTATCTACATGCCTGCAACAATTGAACATTGTAATCCTACATTCCAACTTAAGGAAGGAAAAATCGAGAATAAAGGATGTGACAAGTTCATAATGCAGTCTTCATACAAGCTCAATATTATAGTTGCCATTCATAGAACATTTATTTTAAGAAATAAAATCTAAGGAAAAGTTCATCAGTATACCAGCCTGATTATCTGATGCGATCTAGAGCTTTTATCATTTAGGGCAGTTTCTCCCACTTGCCTTTGAGCTGCAAAGACAACTTTTGCAATTAAAAGATCATACAAAACAGAGAAGATGATACAAGGATCATCTTACCCAGTGCAGGAAGTTTTTAACATTTTGTCACCAATTCTGATTCATGTGGTAAATATAAAAAAGCATAGATGCTACGTTAAATCATGGAATACAATACTTAAAAAATTGTATAAGAGAGATGAAAATGGGAAAATATGTTCACTGGATGATAAGAAGTAGCTTAGGGAACAAGATGCAAATCTGATAGATACAACACATTTGTTTATTGGAACAACAATACTACAATAGTAAAGACTGAATTCCAAAAGTCACCTCATATGTTGGCCAAACACCTTACAATTTTCAATGAACTTAAATTAACAGATTACCTTCACATGTTTCAATTAATTGCCTCAAATGTTGGCCATCCTGAACAATTTGTTCCTGTGTTTTGTCCACAATGGTCCCTTTCTACATTAAAAAAGGGCATGAAAAGTTAACATGAAAAAGAATCCATTTGATCTTCATCAGGAAAATTTCTAGTAAGTACCTCAGCGTCATCCAAAAGCCGCAGTGAAGTAGATTTGCGTTTCAGAAGGTCAACAACAGTTTCATTGTAGATCTCCAAAGCAGAAAATTTCAAAACAAAGTCCCTCTCTGGCGTCTATGAGATAAAAAAGATAGCAACAAAGGCATAAGTACTAAAAGGTTATAGGAATTTCCATACATTTATATTGGTAAATGTTCAACATGATTCATCTTTAAGTAATTTGTCATGTACTCAGTTTTTTTTCATACTACTTTCCGATGATCCTTAAACTTTGCCCTTGCAATATGAAGAGGATTCCAATTCCAAAAACCATATCAAACATATTGGTATGAACAATGACTTACATTCTTGATGTGTTCGAAGATGTCTCTCACAGCATGTTCAGTGATTCCTCTCATGGTAAATGTTTTGCCACTACTAGTCTGCCCATATGCAAAAATTGTTGCTGCCAGAAAAATAATGTGGAAATGTTAGAACCGGCAAAAGACCTTTTGGCACATTATGAAAGGTATCTAAATCTACAAGTTACCATTCATTCCTGTAAGTGCAGATAAAGCAACATCCTTGGCTCCTTCTTCATACACCTTCTGAGTTGA